ATGGTTTAAAAGACAGATTCTTTTAATGTTAAATGCATGATTGTTTGTACTGTATTGTTAATTTGTTCCAAAAGTTTAGCCAGATAAAATAAGGGGGAGTTGGTGAGAGGGAAAGTGGGGGAAGGGAGGGAATCCTAGAGACATGAAATGGATTAGCACCTTGCATTAAGTCATATGTTTAGCTATTTTCTAATGCAAGGCGAGGTTTTAAAGCAGTGCTACTCCTCAGTTGCTCATGTGTTTTAAATACAAAGCAGACACTGTGTGCAGGGCATAGTTTAGTTTGTATTCTTCATTTGTAGACGAGAGAGTCCCTAAATGTATGGAGAGATATTTGATCTAAAACTTGAAACAATGCTCTTGCCTTAATTGACTTATATTCAACATTGAATTGACAAACTTGGTGAAGAAAAGGGGTACTGAACATTCACAAACAACTCATGTTTTCTTTGTCATACATGCCTGTGAGCTGTGCTTTTTGCACCCCTGTAACCACCCTTAAGGATTCTGTTTTTTGGGCTTTATTGGATGAACTGTCAATGCTTTCCAGGATAACAAATCTTGTTTTATAGCACTTGGTGGAGTTTGGTTCGGGGCTACCTCTGAGCAACATGAACTTGGCCTTGCTGTATGTCTTACACTAATACCTTCACTACTGTAAAGAATCAGGGTACTTGAGAAACAGCCTGAAGCCATACAGCTGATTATTTCACCAAATTTGCATCTTTTCAACAGTAATGGGGATGGCTTTCACAAATGCTCCCAGGCTCTAAATAGATGTTAAGTGGTTGTTTCTAGTTCCTTCCCTCTCTTTTTCCCTTGAGAGCCACTTCCCATCCCACCCACTCCGCTAACCCTCTGCTTACCCCTCTGGCAGCCGTGCACTGCTCCTGGCATCTGGTAGACCCTAAAGAAGGGGTTCTATTGAGTAAGTTGGCCAAGTGATACAGTCCTCACATGGGATCTCTTATAATGCCTGCATACACAAGATAGTCTATTATTCTTTCTTCTTGGGGAAAAAATAAGTGGCCTCCAGGAAATGTGAGTGATCTTAGGTGTCCTTTGACTTCTGCTTAGTTATATGGCCCGTGTTGTGTGGATACGACGTGTTTCCTACTGAGGCAGTTAACATAGTTGGGTTCTTCAGCAAGGAAATCTGTGGATTATATATGAAAGACAAGAGAGTGAAGTAGGGCTTGAAAAGAGATGGTGTGGATAGAGAGCTATTGAATGGCTATGTATTCTCCTGTGTGTGATAGAATGTCAGGGGCTGGGGAAGGAGGGGGAAAAGGAATGAGACCGTATTTACAAGGGGTTCTCTCTGCCCCTTGCAGGATAAATGAGGACTGCAGATATAGCCTTTTCTCCATAAGTACCCAGCTATGACTCGCCACTTAGTAATTTGAGAAATAAATACTTTAAAAATGGGGAAGAAACAGGAATTCAAAACTGTAGGTATGAAGAAAAATGACATTTCTTCCAAAACATGACATTATGTCATTTGGCTTTGTTTTGTCATTTAACAGAGTATTAGAACCTGAATGTATTGTAGTGGCAAACAACCGTGGTTATTTCTCATTGGGCATAGATGGAAATGCAGCTCCCCGCTGTAACTCATGGTGCTTTGCAGGAAGAGCCATGAGTTACAGTCATCCCCTGGACCCAAGAGATGTTCACTGTTGGGACCCAGGGGTTGGGGGATCCAGCTGTAATTTGAAGTGGCTGTGATTCTGCAGCTGCTCTCCCCTAGCCCAGCTAATTGCCTCTCCCAGCCCTGGGACTGTCTTAAGAATGGGGGAGGAAGGGAGAGGAGGGAGCTGTGGGGGGGAACTTCAATCCACCCACCCCATCCTCCAGGGCTGGCTGCAAACCCCCAGACAGAACTCTCTCCACTCCCTCCCCAACTCCCACACTGAAGACAGCACCGGGAATAGGGCTGGGTTGTGTCAAACATACAACCAGTCTGTGGGCACATCTACATGTGCCCCCCACAGTGCAATTGTTACTGCACTGTCATTTAGTACGTGCTTTAGGAAGTACTAGATGATGGCACAGTAACAGCTGTTGCTGCACCGTCCTGGTGGCTCATGGTTATTTTTAGCAACTACACCACCATAGCAATGTGCTATAACGAGGAGCTTATTACTATGGTGACATACCATTGGCATCACGGTTTGGTCTGCAGATGCTATATCTCCATACTGATGAGCTATGGTGCTGTAGCACCTTGTGTAGACATGCCCTGTGTGCAGAATTTCTATTGTTTTCCATAGAAGATTCCCGTGTCGTATGGATAGAGCATTGAGGCCAATGAGGAGATGATGGCTAGGGGTCTAGTGGTTAGAAAAAGTTATGCAAGCCAGGACTCCAGGGGATATGAACCTCATTTTGCCTACCTTTAAAATGAGTGCCGTTAATTTGGTTCTCTCAGAGGAGTGTTGTGAGTCTTTCTCAACGTATGCAAAGTGCTATGACTTTCTGTAAATTTACATTCCCAGTCAAAATGAAGTATTGTCTACTAGCACTTAAAAACTTAGGGGCTGATTCTGTCCTGCAGTACAGGAGTTTTGTCCAAATAAAGAAGGCTGGATAAGGCTCAAAACTGAGACAACAAACATCATTTCATTTTTATTTCTGCTCTAAATACTGAACATTTTTACAGTTGGTTTATAGCACCTCTTTCCTTGCTCCAGTATTTTTTAAGTCCAAAATAGTGCTACCTTGATAAAATTTTAAATCTCCCCAAAACTACAGTAAAATATCAATAGTGATCTCTCTTAACATCCACAGAAGGAAACTTGGGGATTAGATTAAAGCTCTATTCTTCATTTATTCTGTTGTGCTTACCTATTTTGGCACATACCCTGATAGGATCACCCACTGTTTGGAAATCTCTCTTTTACCTCGGCGCTTTGGGGGTAAGTCAAGGACAGAGTGGGTTCTCAAAATCATTGGATTTAGTTGAGCACTCCATATTAGATGGATTACTGAAACAGTAAACCATAAAGGCTGCTTTAGAGCCATTAAGGTTCAGCTTGTCAATGCTGACACGGACACACTCTTACACCATGTATTCTTGACATGTCAGTGGGTGCTTAGGGATGCTTTCATACATGTTTTATTGAAATGACAGGCCATAGCTTCTCTGACTGCCGTACATATGCATAGCTATCTGCTTGAAATCCAAATGAAATTCTTCTTGAAAAAGAGCACCTATATGCATGAAATGGATGCTTTTTTAAACAAGTGTCATTCATAATTTTATTTTTAAAATACCTCATAAAGAATGAAGGGGGCAAAATAATCCCACATATAAACTCCAGTTGAAATCAGTAAGGGTTACACTTGGGAAGAATTTTACAGTTTACAAAATATTAGATTAAAATCAAAGTGAATTTTAAATCTAATGTGGAAAACAAACAAACAAACAAAATCATACCTCATGATTTTTCCTTTTTAAAATGCCTTTACAGCTCTATAAAGATAATTATATTCTCCTAGGTGGAGACCTTGATTTATTCAGGTGTTTTGTCAAGTTTCAGTCCAGAGAAAACTTTACAAATAGATTAGAGTGCCTTGACAATACAATTTTAAAGTAGAAATGCCAAGATAGTCTTAGCTGCACAGATTGACTTGCCAAACGTTGCAGATCTTAATCTCCCTTTAATTGTGAGTTTGACATGCGTGAGGAAAGCAGGATTGGGTCTTTAATGTCATAAGCAACTCCTTTTTAACGCTATTACTGTACATGACTATAAGTTTTAACATTTGAAATGGTATAAAATAGTGAAGTTAAATCACATTACATCTGAGATTAAGGAATTTGTGTTTCTACGTGATACACATTTGTAGAATGGTGGCTGAAATTGTCAGTTACAATGCTTTTTTAAATTTTCTAGTTCTACAGATATTAATGATTACATTAATGAAGATGGAGCCTTGTGCTCCAGAGAACCCAGTCCTGCAAATGTGCATGGCCTGGCACACTGCTTATGAGCATGAGGCTCATTGACTTGGCTGAAAAAAGTCAATTATGTATATTTGTTGATTTAGGTCTCAAGTGAAGACAAGAATCAAAGGAGGACGTGAGGAACTTAGGGAAATGTTGTAGTGTGGGTTAGAGTGAAGATGATACAATAATCCAGTTGCTCAAGTGCCTGATCCAAAGTTTGTCTACAGGTTTCACTGGATTTTGGCTCAGTGTAAGTAATGAATACTTCTTTTAGGTTACACAGGGTGCATCTACATGTGCAATTAATTTGAAGCAATTAACTCTGGAGGAGTTTGAGCCAGAGTAAACTACTCCCAAGCACAGCATCTATGCATGTGCCTGGGACAGCAGCAAGTTGAAGCAGGGCACAGCAGTTAATACCAGGGCTGCTCAAGCCCTGCTTTACCCTGGGCTCCGGGTGGTGGTATCGGGGGGCTAAGGGGATGGGAGGGGCACAGAGGTGCTGAAAGTGTGGAGGTGTGGGGCTAGGTGGCAGGCAGGAGTCTGTTCCCCAGCTGTCTGGGCTAACCAGGTACAATTTATGACTGTAGTCAGCATCTACTTGTGCATTTAATTACAGTTAATTACTGTGCTGTAAGATAGTACTGTTCCTGACAGTACTATCTTATGGCGGTGTTAATTAATTCACTATGACCTAATACTGTCGCACGTGTAGATGGTGATGTTTTACTCTGCAGCTAATTAGTCTACTCCACAGTAAAGTGCACATGTAGATGCAGCCACTGTGTATTTTCTAGTCACCTTTTTAAGGAGACTAAGGGGTTTGTTTTGACTTGCTAAGGATATACTTTATAAGCTTCCTTAAAAAAGTGAATATATAATGCAAGTAGCAAGAAATTACATGGAATATAGAAACATGCACAGTGTTGCTCTTTAATAGTTCAAATCAGCACATATGAAAAGAATAATTTAGAAGTAAAGCAAATCAAAAATTTTGAATGAACTCGGAAGCACTGTTTCTTTCAATTTACCAGACCTTTCCAGAATGCACGTGTCTAATACATTTTATTTCATTCTTTAAAACATCAATACGAAACATTATTTTTGACTGATCACAGACATTTTATTCATGAACTCAGACTTTGATTACATGACATTTTATAGATCCAGAAGACTTTAGGTAAGTAGTTTTGTGGTACCTATTCCCTTTTTTATGAGGGTGTATCCTTCATTTTTCCAAGCAACTATCATGGGAACATCCCTCAGGTGAAACCACACCCACAACTGATTTGAATAAAGAACAGACTTTGCAGATGGATCACAACATTTCATAACTCTAACTCTTCTTATCTAGAGCTCTCAATAGTTTCTTTTGTCTGTAGCAGAGTTTAGTATTGTCTTAAACGTAACAAATCAGGATTAAGAACAAGAACAAAATATTGTTGCAGAAATCAGTTTTAAATTGGTCAGCAGTTTAATAAGAACTTTTTAATTCCAAGGTGTAATTCATATGCCCACCCATCAAAAATTATATGTCTACTTCACTAATATGAATAATGCAATTACTTACAAATAATTATTGAAACTCAAGAATGAATTTAATTTTAGTGTGTTTGTGCTATTAAGAGTAAGGTTGAGCAGGAAGTTTAATATTCACACATCTTTAAGGTCACGCTGCAGTATTGTACTTCTTGTTGAGACCTCTGTCTTCTACTTATGCGTGCACATGCAGAAACACGCAAAACCAGTTACAGAGACTGAAGAAGAAATACAGTTAGTCTAGTTTATAACAGCATCACTACTGTGTTTACTATATAAATAATATCTTGCTACTTAAGTTATCCTAGCATCTGCCTCGAACGTCACTGAACATACCACATGATACAATCATATGGAAGGCACAGAGTGCTGAGTGCAGCCCAAGAGAAGAGTACAAATGTTTGATGTAAGTGATGCTGACTACAGCAAGGAGAAAGGTAAAATAAAAATGGCTGCTGTGGAGCTTGTGTGACTGCAACATGTAAATCCCCCATCAGCCTTAAAAATTATGGGGGAATGCTGAGGAGTTCTGGAAAAGGTTCAAACAGCAATTTGAACTGTGTCTGAAAGCCATAGGGGCTAGTAAAATGGAAGATGAGCAACAAAATTCCACTGTTTTTGACTGGGGGCTGGTGTGCAGGATGTATGCAATGCATTTCAAACGGATGATCGGGAGGAGAAAGGGAAGGAAAAAGAGCTCTGAAGATGTAATGAAAAGGTTTGAGGCTTACTGTGTCCCTAGAAAAACGATCATTTGGAGAATTTGACATATTCCAAATCTTGCTCATTTTAATATAAGAGAGTTTGGGGCTCCTACAGTAAAAAGGTGGGTGAAAGGCCACTCGGGGACAGACTGTAATCAGTCATTGCTCAGGCATGCCAGGGGACCTGGGAAGTCCGGAAGAAGTGTCTCCTTTTGAACATCTGATAGCCAGTCAGGCAGGTAGGAGCCATGGAAACTCAGTACCAAATCTGAATCAAACGTGAATGAGCTAATTGTATCACATGCATACCCGATCAAAAGACAGAGATATAACCTGGTAAGATACGTTGTACCCTTTTGGGAGATGGGAGAACCTACTGTGTGCTGCCTGAAGACAGCCTGCTGCAGAGACGGAGAGATGGTATGGCTTTAGACTGGAAGAGCTAGGAGGCAGAAGTTTACTTTGTAGTGACTGGTCTGAAACAAGAGAGTAGGCTCAGCCTATGCGCTGACCGTAAGGGTTTGAACAAGGGCTACAGTTTTACTTGCCTATGTACTGGTAGGTTTTTAGCAGATCCCCTTGGATACAGGAAACTTCAAAATGTTCACATTCAGTACACTGTTTGGCAGATTTTACTTCTTGCGCTTGTTTTTTGGAATGTTCTGCACCAGAAATGTTTCATTTCACCTCGTGATGCGCCTAATAAAAGATTTTGCAAGGCTGAAAGTGTGTGAATTGAAGACACAGGAACTTACATGACATACAGAGATTCCCAGCAGATAGAAACTAGACTACTCGATGAAGCACCTGCAAGTCAAAATGCCAGGAAAATGCTGACTACCTGATAATTATAGAATAGCTTATCAGTTTTTTTCAAAGTAACTGCAATTAGATACCACAGCTTCAGCGGGTATATAATATCCATATTTTTTATGACATAGATTTCTGAGAATTATAATAAGAGATACTAAACCAAAATTCAAGAATAAAGAATCCCTGTTTTTTTGCTAAATTTACTGATAAAACATCTAGATTTAACTATACAGAATCAAGTATAATTTTGTACTAAAAGAATTTGTTTTTCCATCTAAAGTAATGGAAGTACCAAAATAAGTACTAATCAGTTATGGGGAAATACCACTGCAAAGCCTAAAATAACTGATGAATTTTAATATAGTATTCATGTACAACACAGGATATAGGGTAAAGATTTTCCCCAAGATGGAACAATGATAACAGAAGCACAAGCTCTTTAACACACATTTAAAGCAGAGTTTAGTAACCTATGGCCTGTAGGCTGGATCCGGCCCACAGACCAGGGGGTTTTGGCAGTGTTCAGTAGTGGGATGTCTCCTTCTGCACTGCACCAGCCAGGGGGTTAAAAGCTTCATCTGTGTCATAGCTTAGCAGCAGGGAGAAGAAGTGGTTGCGGCAGCAGCTGGGGCTGGATCCTAGAGCTGGCCTGCCTTGGTCCTGAGATGGGTCATTCTGGTCGGCCGCTGTAAAAAAGGGTTACCGACCACTGAATTAAAGAAAAGCATGAGAATTTGGCATGCTAATCACTGCCCATAACAAATTACAGTGATGTAAGAAATGTCACCTCGTTCATATACGGTAATTGCAAACTGTGGAAACGTTCTACAGAGGAATCATGAACATCTGCTGATGGTACCAGAGCATATGAAAGAAAAAAGGAAATAAGCAGCTAGTAGAGGAGAGTGAAATGAAAACAGATATACCAGAAGCACAGACAACTTTGTGGACTGAATCTGTTTTGGACTATGTGAATTAAACCAAAGAGAGAAGACATGGAAATGTTAACAACAATTTACTACTTTACAGGAGATTAAGAAGACTGATGAAATGTCCAGACTGATTGAGACTCACCCTCTGCTCTCACCTTGCTCATGTGTGGTTCATGTAACTGCCAGCCAGAATCACAGCTTTTGTTTAGGGGAGTACGGAGACTGAGTTACTTTCCCAACTAGGGCAAATCACTTGGAAAGAGATGTGAAAAGGTGAAGCCAGGATTTAGTTGCCCCAAAAGAAAGTAGGTCAGCCTGGTTATTAAATGAATGAGTGTGTATGCTGCTCCCGCCCGGCACACACACACACCTTAAAGAGGGAGGCACAGGCTTTGTTCCTAAGGAGATTGTCACAACATTTTGCAGCTCTCAGGCAGAGTATTTCTAGTGCTCCCCTTGAAGCAGGCAGGGTCTAAATGTTACAATAGAGGTCTGTGGTTCTGGAATTTGTTCATCCACGTTATTTTATAAAATTAAAAGAAAAATGGTGCTGTAAAGGGTTAAGCTTCAGCAGGAAGTTGAAAGTCCCAACACACTCTGCACAATTGTAAGCAACACCTTAATCACCCCTAACACTCTACAGTTAGAAACACACACACACACACACACACACACACGTATGTAAAGGAAGGAACCAGCAACCAGCTGCAGAGAGTGAGGTAGAAAGTACAGCAAGGCTTGATTACAGCAGCATCAAGGCTGTGTTTCTGTATATATTATTTCCTGTTAGTTAAATAAGTTACCTTTAAAAATCTACCTTAGCCATCATTGAAATATTTGCAAGGGAAAATTGTGAACAACCAAAAATGTGTTCAACACTTCAATATTTTTTTTTCAAAATTAGAAAATTGTTTGTCTTTATATCTCACTAGTTATATACATAGCACAGATCATACCATTAGATAGTTATAGAGATACCTACACACATATTGGACTTGAAATTATAACTGGTTACTTATCAAACATTTCCACATATCTCCCTTCCCAAAAGCATGTGAGTCTATATAGACAAATTGTTTCAAATGCACAGAGCAATTGTAAACTGTGTTCTATCTTTTGACATATACTACTGACTTTTTCTATTTTTCTGGTAACCCCATTATTTTTGTCCATAGTAAGAGCTCTGACCTGTGCTACATGGAAAGTTTAGAGATGAAGTCATTTCTGGTTTAAGTTACTGGAGAGACTTTAATTCATCCAGCTGTGCTTGCTCAACAACAATTCCAGCATTCAGCATTGACAACAGACCATCAGCAAGAGAAATCAAACAGAAAAAGCAGGGGGTGTTGAAAGGAACACTTAAAACTGTTCTCATTTGTAGAATTTAACATCATCAAAACACTAAATGTAAATAGGAACAGAAGGAATAAGCTAAACTAATCAGTCAAGATATTTCAGAAAATCCATTTCTTTTTTAGCCAGAATTCTTAACAAAAATCCCAATGGAGCTATCATTTAACATAAAGGTTCATCTTTAGGAATAAATTGCTGAATATATTGCTCAAAAGGACCCTGCATTCTAAAACATATAACATGTTTCTCTTGTTGAATCAAATGACATTCAACTGATAAAAAAAATCGTACAATATGGTATCCTGAGTGAACACAATCCAGAAACTGAGTTCTGCAATGAGGAGCCTTAGCGCATGCAAAAATAAGAATGAAATTGTTTCCAGGGTGCAGCTGTTTTAGTAAAACAAATTATTTAAATGGTGGAATGATTAACAAACCTGTTAAGATGATTTGTTGCCATCCATTAAAAAATGAAGGGTTAAAATTAAAGAAAAAAAAAGGAAAAATCTTTGGAGGGAAAATGGAGGTAAAAAAAGTGTGGATCTGGTATCCGGTGATAAAACTCCCTTATCAATATCATACTCAGGGGTGTGAAATCATTTCTCATGTTTAGTTTTCTTTGTCAATACAGTGTAAGAAACTGCTTTATTGCATTCTTACACTGAGTTACCTCATTTTGTCTTACAACCTGTGTCTGATGATGATGATGCAGATTTGAAAATAATTGTCTTGGAAATATGGAGAATGTTGACTCTTTCACCACAATGGAATATGGCATTAGTCAAATGCTAAAGAATTCTCAAGTTCAGCTCTGAATAATTTTCTGATCCTGTCTGGTCAGTGAAAGCACAATTAGAGGATGTAAATTTAGCAAAATGACACTTACGATGGTATTGAAATCACTTGTTTGATCCTGCAACCCTCCACCCACAAAGCCTATGCTCATGCAAGTAACAGTTTGCAGAATCAGGCCTGTAATATTTAGAAGAGTGAAGAATGAACACACTGCATGTGGCTCAGAGCAATACTGCTCTCAACCTGCCTCCCTGACTAAAGTCAACAGGAATTATGCAATTTACTTCAATGGGAGCGGAATCGGGCACATTAATTGTACACAAATGACACTTCCCAAAACATACAGCCTGAAAATGACTCAGCTGGCTGCGCAGCATTATTATCCAAGACAATAGAAATCTGTGGGTGTAGAGAATTGACAAATGCTGAGGATTTAGGGTCTCCCTGCAGATTTTTTGTGCAATTTACTATTTTCTCCAGATTCTAATTTTTCATTTTCATTTTAAATGAAATGTCTAGCTCTTCTGGTGTTAAAAATTGCCCTTAAGTCTCAGACTATAAACTGATGTTCTACTATCCTTTTCTACCCTTCTCTATTTACCAGTTGCTGACAATGGATCTCTGCTATGGGTGCTGCTGAAGTGGTGTGACAGGACTGAGCACGACTGGTATCATTTCAGAAACTTCAGTTAAACCTGTTTTGAACAGGAGCATAGCACTAAGTGAAAAAATCAGAGGGTTGTGGTAATTCCAAATATTAATGCTAGTATTTTTAACTATTTACCTGCTGATGCCTGTGTCAAAAACATCCAGTTAATGGCCATCTTGTGGACCCATTGCAACATGTTGCTCTTTTCATATGAAAGACTATTACATGGGAATAAGCAGACAAGTTAGGAAAAGATGGAGATGAATATTTTATTAAGTAAGCTTCTGATTATTCAGTTATCTGTGGTGCTTGCTACTGCTTTGAAAAGTGAGGAAAGTAGGGTACATGCTACTGGTCCCCTATCATTTAGTTTGTAGCATTGTATGTGTTCTCTATAAAATTGAGGCCAGCAGCAGCACTAGTGATGGAGTTTCACTTTAATAACCTAATAAATATTTTTGATTGATTTGCCTGTCTTACAATGGCATCTGGTATTAAAATGTGAGAATAGGGTGAAGTACATACTCTGACACCTTTGGAAATTCCACTGATATTTTCTGGGGGCTGGAAAAGGAACTTCTGCTGAACATTGGTTTACAGGACTATTTCTAAGCCAGTCCCCCTCCTCAAAAAAAAAACAGCCCTAAAAGAAAATTTGTTTTACTTGTTCAACTGCAATAGTTTGCTGATAAGAACAAACCTAGCCCAACATTTATAAAGCACTATTGGCACATTTAAGATATTTGTTCTGCATTTTGTACCTTTCCAAAATTTCAAACTGTGATAGTGTTTTGCTGTGTTACATAGGGATTGTATCGACCATTTGTTTTTAAATGGTTTTGATTATATTTTGTATTCTGCATCAGTAAAGCACATGAGTTTTAACTGCTTTAAATATGAACATTCTAATAGACTGCAAAATTAGGAGACTATGACAAGCAAGAACAATAAGGTTTGAGCATGCAAATCACTCTTTTTCTTTTTAACAATACATACTCTACTGCCTGTATTTCCCCAAAGATACCACTACAGCTACACATGGTTGAAGTCTGTTCTACCCTTATATAAGGCAGTGTGACAAATGATTTAGGGGGAAATAACCTCTAATCAGCATTACTTCATACCACACAGAACAGAATTATTGTCAATTTAATTCTGTCTTCTCGACATGAAACTCTGAAGTGTTTCTTCCAGTTGAAGTTTTGTAGCTGAATAATAAATAAAAGAAGGTGCAGTACGAGTACTGCATAATGTAATTGTACCCTCTTTGTTCTTGTCAATCAGTTTTAACACAAGTTATATAGTCGTGGATGTCATAATGAGAGTATTCAGAGAGGATGGTTTAGAGTTTCAGTACAATCATCTTATGAGAGAAAGTTCCCTTTAATAGAGGTGTATGGTGAAGGTTTCAGGTGCTTTATAAAACTTTGACTTGCTTCCTACTACAAGGGGAAAAAGCACAATAATGCATGCATGAATTGCCAATAAATCAAAGGCTTGCTTTTTTTTAATTCCTATTTTGACATGTACATACATAGCATTTTTAAGAGATAGCTCCAAGGTAGCTTTCCAGTCCTTGATCAGATCATGAATTTAATTAATTCAGTGTAGACATGTCATAGATTTAAACCCTTTAGAATTACATTTTTAATACAGATCTAACATTTAATGTCTTTTTCATTTTTTTTCTTGTGAAGTAAAAAAATCCTTTAATACTCTAGTAGCATTTCCCCCCTCATCACAAGACTCTGGCTCACTCCTAATTATGGGACTGCAAATTATTTATTGTAGTTTTAATTTAAGGTAGAAAACAAATAATCCAGTGTAAAAAACACTGTTCCAACTTCAAGAAGAAATGTGTGTGTGTGTTTAATTTCTCTGTAGGCATACAGCTGTACAGTCACTGTATAATGGAAGGTTTGAGACAAAATGGTCCCCCACCACCTTACCTCGGTGT